TTTATAGTCAACCCTTTCCTGCAGTCCTAATTACTGGCAGCAGCTGATCTGTTTTTCCTTTCTATAGTTTTGTCTTTTCCAGTATGTCATATAAATGCAGTCATACAGTATGTAACCCTTTGAAGCTCTCTTCATTGGCTTAGCACAGTGCGTTTGGAATTCACCCATGTTCTTGTATGTATTCATAATTAATTATTCTTTATTGTTGAGGAATATTCTGTTTTATGGATATACCACAGTTTTTCCATTCACCAGTTGAAGGATGTTTGGATTGTTTCCAGCTTGGGAGGAATCATGATTATTAATAAAGCTGCTATAAATATTCAAATATTCATGTGCAGGTGTTTGTGTGAACTTTTCATTTCTCTTAGATATTTACCCAGAAGTGGGGTTGTTGGGTCATATGACAACTCTGTTTTATTTTACAAGAATCTGCTAAACTATTTTTCCAGAGTGGATGTACTGTTTTATATTCCTACCAGCAACATATGAGAGTTCAAGTTGTTCTTCATCTTTGTCAATACTTGGTATTGTCATTTAAAAAATATTTTGGTCATTCTATGATGTATGTAGTAGTATCTCATTAAAGATAAACACATGAACAATAGGTACATGAAGAGATGATCAACATTATTAGCCATCAGGGGAATGCAAAAAAAAAAAAAAGCAAAACACAAAGAAGATACCATTTCATACCTACATGGGATGGCTATAATCCAAGAGATGGACAGTAATGTGATTTGGGAACTCTCATATGCTACTGATGAGAATGACAGTAGCGCAGCTGAAGCAATTCCATTCCTAGGTATTACCCAAGAGAATAGAAATGTCCAGACAAAAACTTGCAGATAAATGTTTATAACAGCATCAGTCATTTGATTGTCAAAAAGTGGAAACTGCCCACATAGCTGTCAACTGATGAATGGATAAATAAAATCTACCTTAACTATACAAAGGATTGAAATACTGATACATAGGTGCTCCTTGAAAACATTGTGCTAAGTGAAAGAAGTCAGTTCTACAGGACTGTATTTTATATACCATTTGTTTGAAGTGTTCAGAATAGGCAAAAACAGAGATGGAAAATAAATCAGTGGTTCCCTGGAGTTGGTGGGGATAGGAGAATTGGAGGCTGATGGTTTTGAGATGTGGGGTTTCATTTTGGGGGTAATGTTCTAAAATCGACTGTGGTGATGGATGTATAACTGTAAATATACCAAGAAATCATTGAAATGTACCTTGTGAGTGAATTGTATAGTATGTGAACTATATTATAAAGCTATTTAAAAATCACCAGAATTTTAAGTATACAATTTAGTAATTTTTAGTGAATATGCAGAGTTGTGCAGACATCACCACAAAATAGTTTTATAACATTTTTATCCATCAAAAAGATCCTTTGTGCCTGTTTGCATTTAATACTTATTCCCATCCTAACTGCAGGCAACCACTAACCTGCTTTCTTTCTCTTTAGACGTGGTATATTTCATATGGATGGAATCATATCTTTTGGAATCATGCCCCTTTTGCATCTGGCTTCTTTTGCTTAGGATCCAGTTTCTCCGCAACCATGCTACCACTTGCTATTGTCTGTATTATTTATCATAGCCACCCTAGTAGGTGTGTAGTGATGTCTTATTGTGGTTTTAATTTGCATTTTCCTAATGACTAATGATGTTAAACATCTTCTTATGTGCTATAATTAGCCATTCCTGTATCTTTGGTGATATATGTAGTCAAATTTTTGCCCATTTTAAAATTGTTTAGTTGTTTTCTTATTGTTGACTTTTGAGTTCTTTTATATATTTTTGGTACAAAGCTTTTTTGTCAGGTGATATACAGATATATTCTCCCAGTCTGTGGCTAGTGTTTTCACTTTCCTAACAGTGTCATTTGCAGAGCAAAAGTTCTTAATTTTGGTAAAGTCCAATTAATCAGTTTTTCTTTTATTATATTATACCTAAGTTCTCTTTTACTAACTCAAGGTCTTGACGATTTTCTCCTATGCTTGCTTCTAAAAGTTTTGAAGTTTTGTTCTATATTTCGATCTTTGATCCATTTTGAGTTATCATAGAAGATATGAGGTATAGGTTGAGGATCATTCTTTTTTCTTTTGCATATGGCTGTCAAGTGTTTCTTCCAGCACTGTTTGATAAAAACGTGATTTTTTTTCTGTATTGAGCTGCTCTTGCAATTTTGTCAAAAATCATATTTGTATGGCTCTCTTTCTGCATGTTTTCTGTGTGTTTACATTTATTTTCCTCTATCTTTGTCTTCCTGCCTCTAATATTTCTCTGTTCCCACTCTTTCTCCTCTTTTCTGATTCTCTCTCCCATTTTCCCTTTTTCTGTCCCCTTGCTCAAAATGAAATGTATGGGTTAATATTTTTAGTTTAAAGGACTTCTTATTTACTATATGAAGAATGTCTATTTTCTCTACAAGTAAGAAATGGCAAAAATGAAATAACTTTTTCACTGTAACTCAGTTTTTCTCAGTGAATTTGGGGTCTTAAAGAAAGATGGTGATTCCTCTTCCCAAACCATGTTTGCACCAGTGTTTTGATTTCTTTAAAAAAGAAATTAGTCAAGGTGATTTCAAATCGGCATGTTAAAGAAGGTAAAGGTTTTATTTTTTCTACCATGCTTTTATTTCACTCCTAAACTGTAAAATTGATTACTGATGCTTTTCCTATAGGGGGCAGTGGTCATTACTACTGGAGCCACAGATAACAGAAAAACAATTTTGAAAGCAGCTTAATTTTACAGCTTCTCCAAAACCAGCTTTAGATCTATTTATTTTTTAAAAACACTTAGAAAAAGTAAGGATGAAATTGGATTTTGGCATTTAATTAATACTTGACAGTGGAATCAGGTAATGCGAGTGACCAGTTGTTTTTGAGGCTTACAGAGAACGGTCATATTTACTTTGGTTTTTCTCAGAATGAAAAGACAGCCCTCAGATTGGGAGAAAATAATAGCAAACGAAGAAACAGACAAAGGATTAATCTCAAAAATATACAAGCAACTCCTCCAGCTCAACTCCAGAGCAGTCTTTCCAGAAAAGTGCCCTAAACATTGAATCATGCCTCTAGTGCTGTGCCACAGCATTTTAAATGTAGCCCATTAGAAAGTTTGTGGGTAAGATATTTTTCATTACACTAAATTTTACATTTTAATTGTTTGCATTTTCAGAGAAACGCCCTTTTTTGCAATTTCTCTGTTAATGTTATATGATAGTTTGGAGACATTAGTCAAGAACGTGTCAGTGTTTCCTAGTATAACTAATGGGTTTAATTTCTGTCATCCTGAAAGTGACAGTCACTCGGTCGTGTCCGACTCTTTGCGACTCCATGGACTGTATAGTCCATGAAGTCCATGGAATTCTCCAGGCCAGAATACTGGAGTGGGTAGCCTTTCCCTTTTCCAGGGGATCTTCCCAACCCAGGGATTGAACCCAGGTCTCCTGCATTGCAGGCAGATTCTTTACCAGCTGAGCCAACAGGGAAGCTCATTATATGATCCTAGCAGAGGGTTATTATCTCGGAGAATTAAATGAGATTATTTAAATCTCATAGCTGGAATAGCCAGATAACTGCTTTGGCACTTTACTTGAATTGTGACCTCTACCACTTTGGATTAAGGGAGTCCCCCACCCCACCCCCATTTTCTTTGTTTTTTAAGATAGTACAAAAGCTTACTTAGTTAATTGTGTTCAGATTTTTTTCCCCTCTCATCTCCATGAAACTATGAAGGGAGCAGGGAACTTGGGCAGAGGTTGAAAATTCCGGCAGAGGTCTTAAAGCAATGTCATGTGGGCTGGGCTGCATCATACACACCTGAGCCTTATTGCAGTTCCTTTGCAACCTCGTGCAGCAGTTGCCTTGAGTTAAGCTGCAAACTCAGGTTCCTTTTGGTCAGAAAGCTCAGCTGCTTGTGCATACTTCTCTCAACCTTTGGCTGGTTGGGTTAATCCCACCCTTCCCCAACTGGATAGCTCTGCAAGTTCCTGCTCCCTCTCATGTTTCCTTCTCAAATCAAGTTCTTTGTAGGAGCATCGGCTCTTCCTCTTCTTTTCACAGGGTCCTGACTTATCCTGGGCAAGCCAGCCCTTTGCTTCTGCTCGTGAGAAGTGCCAAGATTCTGCAGCGCTGACTCCAGCTGCCTTCTCATGCCTTTCCGGATACCTGGATAAGCAAGCCCTTGTCACTGCTACCTATTCTTTCCTGCGCTCTGCTTTTTCCTTCTTGCCACACGTGTGTTCCCTTCTCCCCCTGCCCACCTCTATCCCCTGTACACAATGCATAAAGGATGGAAAAAGTACTGCGGCCAGAAGTCTCTGAATGAGGCATCAATGGATGAATATTTAGGCAGCTTAGGGCTGTTTCGAAAGCTGACTGCCAAGGATGCCTCTTGCCTCTTTCGTGCTATTTCGGAGCAGGTAAAAAGAAAACAAATGCACCTTTCCCATGCTAAGTTTTCAGAGTTTGAGACTTGGCACAGCACTGTAGCTGAAAGAACTGTAACCCACCAAAACAAAATTCCCTTCTCTTTTTCGTATTTAAAACATTACGTTCTCTCTGGTACTTACTAGCTTGGTGTGTGCCTTTGCCGATTAGTTCAAATATATTGCTGTGCCTTTGTTGTCTTTTCTGAATGCCACTTTGGAATGTAAAAGATAACATAATGGGGTTAAAAAATCTTTGAAATGTATTTTGTTCCTTTATAAGCAACCCTGTCTTTCCTCTAAATTTTATACCAAAGGAAAAATTTATAGATGGTGCCCATAAGTAGTAGAAGAGGGGAGCATGACAAAATCATACCTCCTCAGTATCACTAAAGACGATAAAAACAGATTTTAGTAAGATCAGGACTTAATTTCTGAATTTCCTACATATGTTCTGAATGGAGGGGGAGGCTTGAGTGTCTAGTTCATAGTCTTAAGTTAGAAGCTTCTATTTCAAATGACTGATGACAGTGAGCTGATCTTTCTCTTCTTTTTAGTTGTTTTGCAGCCAGGTCCATCACTTGGAAATCAGGAAGGCTTGTGTCTCATATATGAGAGAAAATCAACAAACTTTTGAATCTGTAAGTAGAATATATAACCAAGGAAGAGTTGTTTGTAGAATATGCAGCAGATAGGAAATGGATTTTGAGCACCTATGTATGAATATTGTATCCTGCGGTCTCTTCTCAGTAGCAAATATTTAATTTTCAGTTGGCTTCTTTCCCCCTGGGTAGCATACTTCTGGATCTCCTCCCAGAACTAGATTGTTTTGTACTCTAAAAATTATGAAAGCTAATCTTTATCCTTCCCACCATTTATCCCCCTCATACCCCAACAGTTACATTTTGACCATGTTATCCATTATCACAGTTTTCTTAAACAAGTAATCATAGTTCACAAAAGGTTTGGCTATGTTAATAGTTTTAAACATGCATTTTAAAATTTGTACAAATGAGAACCTTTTCTGTTCTTAATTCTGTGCTCGATGATCATCAGTCAACTTGATGAATCATGTAAAACTTATCTATAAGGAAACAAATTAGTCCTAAACATGTCTTTTCATGTGACAAACTGGTAATTGGAGCTCTTCCACTAATTGATTGACTTTAAAACAACTTCTAGAACACATCTTTGTATATGTTGAAGTATAAGTTGGAGTATAAGTTGAAGTCTTGTTAACAAAATGAGGTTTTATAAAGGTCTGATTTGAAGTGATCCTTTTCCTGTGACTGTTACTTTTGTTGTTGTTTTTTTTAATACACTCCTAGCCATTCCAGTGCTCTTTGTACTCCTGATTATACTATGGATATTTGCCTGCTCTTCGAGGTTTACTCTTAATTTTCTCAATAGGTTTCAGTGAGTTGTAAAACTATATGAAGCCTTCTTGATTTTGAAGCGTTTTACCTTGAAGTTAATTAGTCTTCACTGCACCTGGGGAAAGGGTTATTTGTGAAATTACTTCAAATGCAAGACCATGGTGTAAAGCAGCGCATCTCAAGTATTTTTGTGCATACCAATCACCTGGGAATCTTGTTAAAAAACAAATTCTGATTCAGTAAATCTGACCTGGGGCCCAAGATTTCTGCAGTTAACAAATTCCTGAACGATGCTTCTGTTGTTCATGGACTATGTTTGAGTAACAAAGATGTGGGTAAAATTTTAAAACCATTTGGATGAATCTCAGATTAATTAGGCAGAGCAAAAGAAGCCAGACCTTCCAAAAAGTACATGCTGTATGATTTCCTTTATATAAAACTCTAGAAAATACAAACTACAAACCAGTCTATAGAAAAACAGCAGATCGATCATTGGTTGCTTGGGGATCAGTGAAGTTATAGAGGTGCACAAGGAAACTAATGGGGATGATGGACATACTCAGTATCACAACTGTCATGATGGTTTCATGGGTACATACGTATGTCAACTTAATTGTGTCATTTAAATACGTATGGTTTATTGTATGTCAGTTATACCTCAAAACTTTAAAAAGGTGGTTGAGAAAAATTGAAATGATTTTTTAAGTCTAGTGTTACACATGATTGGAACTAGATGTATATTATCTTACATTCCCTGAGATTAATTTTTATTGAGGTATATTTTACATCTGATAAAATTCATCTTTTTATGTTTTAGTGTTTTAAGTTTTGGCAATAATATACAGTCATACAGCTGCCACTGCAGTCAAGATATAAAAATATTTCCATCATCTAAAAGTTAGCTTTTGCTCTTTTTGAAACTAATGAAATTCCCTTTAAAGTTCCTCAGTTTAAGTTTGTAAATGAATGTCTGCTGTCAAATTTTAAATACTTATAATTATTATGCTTCCTTGATTTATGCAAATTGTTATTTAAGTTGGCATTTCAAAAGAAACTCAAAGGCATACCATTTGATGAAATGCACTGATATGTGGATAAGCCAGGACATTTTCTAAGATACTTTTAATAATAGTCCAGCTTTTCTCCATTCAGCTTTTGTGTGTATGCAAATCTTCTTGAGGTGCTGTGCAAAGTAGTCATTTAATATCATAATTGTTCAGCTGAACAAAAACTCACTGGAGGATTATATTGCAGAATATACTCAGATTTCAGTAATGCTATGTATTTGGTTAAGTCAAGTTTGTTTTATTTTTGAAGTATGTGGAGGGATCTTTTGAGAAATACCTGGAACGGTTGGGAGATCCCAAGGTAAGATCAAATATGGGGGTTTAATCTTTTCAGAGTATTTGGAATAGTAGCCTAAATATCATTCAGCTGTGTCACTTGAACTAGACCCAATCTATTTTCTTAAGTAGCCAGCTGTGTTGAGTCAGATACTTCTTGCAAAACCTTAGAGGCTGGCGATTTACCTGTTGTTTTGTGTTGAATATTGAAAATTGTGTGCTAACAATTTTATCATCCATAGACTAGCGAAATTATACGCTACTCGGACACAGGACTGACCTAAACCTTTTCACTTTAATGTGGGAGGCGGGTGGTAATGAATGTTACTAGGAGGTCATTGTTTTTATTAAATAATTTCTCTGATTTGTAGTTATCTTTCTTTTATGTGGGACTAAGATTCATAAACATATTTAATTAAAAAATAATTTTATGTGATTAAATTGCATAGTTCTAGACTTAACACATTTACTAAATACCTTGTTAGCTTCTGTTCTTACATTAATTGCATTTTTATTGTGCCTTTTAAATCTCCCATATTACTGTCCTTATTTAATAGCAAACTAAGATTTTTAAGTCGATTTTTTTTTCAGAATAAGTTTATGTTAATAAGTAACTATCACAGTATCCCAAGCTCAAAGCAAGTTATAGTGTGTTGTACAAATTCTTCATCTAAAACAGTGTTAAGCTCCTAAAAAAACTGTTGAACTTGCAAAAACTTCTACCTTCTAGGTACAGAATGTTTTTGAAAACTTTATATACTCTTTATATTTAGGAAAGTGCTGGCCAGCTGGAAATAAGAGCTCTTTCTCTAATTTATAAGTAAGTTGAATCTGTTTGTTGAGAGAGAGAGTGTGTATGTGTGTTAAGATTTCTAATTGAGTCCCTCAGTGATTGAGAATATTTGAGGTTTGATATATTGATACGTAAAATGAAGCAGTCTAAGCAAAGTCAATGACATAATTTGTGTCCATTTGAATGGGATGATAAAGGATTTTAAGAATTGCCCGTATTATTCCTTTAGAAAATCAGAATACTCTAGAATTTTTGTATATTTAACTTTGTGCCTCTTGTTCATGCATGCTCTATGGGGCAATATCACTTCCAACAGGGTAGAAATTGTTTCCTGAGGACAAAAAAATTACGTATCAATTGGTTTATGACTTCACTTTCACTTTTCACTTTCATGCATTGGAGAAAGAAATGGCAACCCACTCCAGTGTTCTTGCCTGGAGAATCCCAGGGACGGCGGAGCCTCGTGGGCTGCCGTCTGTGGTGTTGCACAGAGTTGGACACAGCTGAAGTGACTTAGCAGCAGCAGCATGATCCTTCAAAGGATCACAGTTCATAAACATATGATTAGAGTAGATATATATAATATAAACTAGATATATAGTATATTTGTTGTATTAAATTTTTATAGGGAAATTAAGAAAAGTATTTCTTTGTTCTTTAGAGAGGCAGTAATGGTGTGAAAATTTGAAGGACACTGCTCTATTGCTTTGAAAGTTCTGTTTAGGTCTTTAAAACTGCAAAGTGGCATTTCTGAAAGCATAGGCTTTTGAAAATAGCTATAAAATGTGGGTTGTAGGGAATCTTGTTCATTTAAGGAGTTGGATCTGTGGATGACTTCTTCATTCTTAGGATGTGAGATGGAACATACCTTGAGAGAGTCAGAACTCTCTTGAATGGGAACTTGTTCAAGGTTAGTGTTTCGCAGTCTGCTTATCCTTCACTAAATCCAGCAAGAAGTAATACAGAAGAGCTCTCAAGCAGGTAGCTAATCAGATGATGCTTTTAAATAGGGGACCAGTTTTTAAATTGGCCTGCTTTTTGTTTTTGTATGGCTCTAGCTAAGAATGCTTTTTAAAATTTTTTAAATAGTTTTAAAAAAATCAAAAGAATAACATTTCTTGGCATATGAAAATTACATAAAATTCAAATTTCAGTGTCCATAAATAAAGCATTATTGGAACATAATCATGTACATTTGTTTATACATTGCCTATGGCTGCTTTTAGGCTAGGAAGTCAATGTTGAGTAAATCATATAGCCTGCAGAAGCCATATGTTTGTTATCTGGTCATTTACCAAGAAAAATTTGCTAACACCTGCTTTAAATAAATGGGAGCCTCCAAAACTTACAGATATTCATACAGTGGGCAATTTATCTTCTTTACTCCTCCTTTCCTCAAATTAAAATACATTTTAAAAATGCATTGGACTTTAGGGACAGTTAGCTAGCTTTGCTGAATTAAAATTTAACCTCTTAAACATTTGAGTTATTTTATATGAACAAAGTAGGCAGTTTAAAAGCACAACTATTTGTTCCTATAACTATTTCTTGTGTATACTAAATTGTCTCTTGTCATCCATCTTTGTTTTCTACCCATGTAGTCGGGATTTCATTCTTTATCGCTATCCTGGAAAGCCTCCAACTTATGTCACAGATAATGGCTATGAAGACAAGGTAAGAAGATAAGTGAGTGTTTACTAAAATAAAAAATTGAATGATACTACCAGTTTGCCATCAACAAATCATCCTTTTTTAACCTAATTAATGAAAAATAAGCACAGTCTAAAAGCCAAGCTTTTTTATAACCAAGCCTTTTCCTCCCCAGTTAGCCTTAGTATTGTTAGCTATCTTCTGAACAACCTGATCCTGTCACTCCTCTGTAGTAGGAAAAACCCACCCAAAACCCTAATTGACTCTTCACTGATTAGAAGATAGGATCAAACTCTGAAGCAAGACATTCAGTGTCCTTGTTGTTCAGTCGCTCAGTTGTGTCAGACTCTTTGCGACCCCATGGACTGCAGCACGCCAGGCTTCCCTGTCTTTTACCATCTTCCAGAGCTTGCTCAAACTCATATCCATTGAGTCAGTGATGCCATCCTAACTGTCTTCTCCTCTGTCTTCCCCTTCTCCTGCCTTCAGTCTTTCCCAGCATCAGGATCTTTTCCAGTGAGTCAGCTCTTCTCATCAGGTATTAGAGCTTCAGCTTTAGCATCAGTCCCTCCGCTGAATATTCGGGATTAATTTCCTTTAGGATTGACTGGTATGATCTCCTTGCAGTCCAAGGGACTGTCGAGAGTCTTCTCCCAACACCACAGTTCAAAAGCATCAATTCTTTGGTGTTCAGCTTTCTTTATGGTCCAACTCTTCCATCCATACATGACTACTGGAAAAACCATAGTTTTGACTACGGACATTTGTCAGTAATGTCTCTGCTTTTTAATATGCTGTCTAGGTTTGTCATAGCTTTTATTCCATCTTTTAATTTCATGGCTGCAATCACCATCTTCGGTGATTTTGGAGCCCAAGAAAAAAGTCTGTCACTGTTTACACTGTTATCCCATCTATTTGCTATGAAGTGATGGGACCAGATGCCATGATCTTAGAGTTTTTTGAATGTTGAGTTTTAAGCCAGCTTTTTCACTTTCCTCTTTCACCTTCATCAAGAGGCTCTTTAGTTCCTCTTCACTTTTTGCCAGGGTCCCAAACCTTCTCTCTAGCTTCATTGTCCTTCAGCCTTAGTGTATCATGAGGCCAGAGTGTCCAGCTTTCATGATTTCCTATGTATCTTAAATGTCAGTTTCTTTGAAACCTTACCAACTCCCCTGGAGTTATTTCCTCCCTTTTTGTTCCCCTAGCATCACCCAAGTAATTAACAGTGTTTATCACCTTATATATGTTTTCATGTCTGTTTTTCTTATTAGTCTGAAAGTTTAAGTACAGGGACATTGTGCTAAACCACTGTCTAGTAAAGTGCCTGGAAAAATAGTAGGAGGTTGTTGTGTTGGTTGAGAACTCTCAGCAGGTAAACAAGTTGTTTTTCAGCATACAGCTTTTCTTCCAAAGAGTTTTTAAGAACACCCTTCTATCCACATGATTTGATTAGTAAATACATATTACACAGTACTTGAGTTTTGTCTTGTTTCATACCATAGAGCAAAATTCAGGCAGCATTTTGATAGTAAGAAAAGAGTAGACAGTGGTAAAACTGTTAGAATGTTACATTAATCTAGATAGAAGACCTGCACTAGGCAAGTGGCATTAAGAATAGAAAAGACTGAATAGGATGCAAGAGATAACTTCAATCATAAGTATAAAGTGGAGCATGTTAATTATTTTACCAATGTGTGCTAAGTCGCTTCAGTCGTGTCCAATTCTTTGTGACCCCATGGAATGTAGCCCACCAGGCTTCTCTGTCCATGGGATTCTCTAGGCAAGAGTACTGGAGTGGGTTGCCATTTCCTTCTCCAGGGGATCTTCCTGACCCAGGATCGAACCCGTGTCTTTTATGTCTCCTGTCCTGGCAGGCAGATTCTTTACCACTAGCACCACCTGGAAAGTCAAGTACTTCCCATTTTTTTTCATCAGTAGTATTTAAAATACTATTTTACCGGTAGTACTGCCAATTTGTTCAGTAAACATTAAGCCCCTATAGTGTACCAGGCAATTGACTGGGCTTTGGGGATACCAAAATTAATAAAGCAGAATCCTTGCCCTTTTCTTATGAAGACAGACATGTAAATGATATAGTGCAGTGATATATTTTATAATAGAAATATATGCAAGGAGCATAAAAAAAAAGCCCTTCACTGTGCTTGAGGGAGTACATAAAGTTTCATGGTAGTTGTGATATTTAAGTGGAATATCAAAAAATGAATCTAACAAGTATAAAGGGTAGTCTGTTCAGAGGAAACACTATATGCAAAGGCATAGAAGCAAGAGTTAATTTGTTAGCTGATTCCTTCAGTCTCTAATTTTTTCAAACAATTTAAAGGTCAGGCTTACTAACCAAATTATTTCAGTAAAAATGTTCCCTGGCTCCATATGATGAAATCTGTTTATATAAATCTAAGACACTTTTGAATTTTTGTTCAAAAACCTCTGTCTTGTGTAAGGGATGTAATCCCAAGTAGTCAAGTGTATTTCATTTTGAAGCCACCTCTGGCACCACCAACCTGAGGTAACAAAGAAAATTCTCTGTGATCTATAAGGGGATAATGTCACCAAGTTTCCGTAGCAGAAAATTATTGTAAGCACTCTTTTTTTCTACTTTCCTACTCTACCCTGGCTAATTTCTCCCAATAAACCAGTTCTCTGACCCCAGGTCTATTATTCTTCCCTAGTCTTTTTTTTTTGAAATCACAACTCTATCAATATAATCCATTTCAAAGTTCTGAGAGGGCATATCAAGCTAAAGTAAAACACAACAAAATTTAAGTTGCGAAGTTTCACCCACCCCAAGCAGTATTTACATTTGAGAAGCTTTAGTAGTAGTGCTCCTATATAGCATATTGATACACTGCTATACAATACAGTGAATAACATTTTGAATAAATTGAAATTCCTCCCCCATAGTCTTAAGTTTGGGATTTTGGTGTATTTGTCCTGTTTTCTCCATTTTTAGAAGTTAAGCTATGTTTGTTAGGCTTTCTGTTATATTCACTCAATTTGTAAAAGTTCCCATTTTTTGCAAATTTATAAATCAGGATTGTGTGGTATATTATCAGGAATGTTATTGAGGCTCAGAGTGTTACCTTAGTAGTGGTTTTAATCTTAACATTTAAAAGTAACTGTCTTACCTCCCTTAGCACGATTATCTCTAGGTCCATTCATGCTGCTGCAAATGGCATTATTTCATTCTTTTTTTTTTTTGTTTGAATAATGTGCTGTTGTGTGTGTGGGTATAAACCACATCTTTTTGGAAATCAACTACATACAAGGATGGTAATAAGGTTAAAAGACAAAGTAGTGAAATATCTATATCCATAATCAGTTGAGGGATACAAAAAATAGATGTAAAATATGTCAAAACAGTAGTGAGGGAAGAAGGGTAAAAATGCAGTTGATAAGATGGATCTGGAATTAAGAGATCAGCAGTTTAAAATTATCACATATATGTAGAGAGATTGCCATATGTAAATTTAATGCTAACCACAAACCAGAAATCTATAATAGATACACTCATATAATAGAGAAAAGAATCCAAATGTTAAGATTAGAGGAAGTCATTGGCTCATAAGGGAAGAGAACAGAAGAAAGGAACAAAAAATTACAAAAACAACTTCAAAACAGTTAAAAAAAGAATAAAAGGATGGAAAATTGTGTCAAGTATCTGGAGTAACTTAAACTCTCTAGTGTACTGCTAGTATGAGTATAAATTGCATAGCCACTTTGGAAAATATTTTTTTATGGACATGGTTGGTTTACTGTATTGTGCTAGTTTCAGGTGTGCAGTGAGGTGATTGATTTATATATATATATATACACATATATATATAATATATTTATTTTTCAGATTCTTTTCACTTATTAAAAAGTAAAAGTAAAAAAAAAAAAGGCCACTGTCAAGAAAATCTTTTAATGGCATACAGCTTTCATTTATCTGTATTTAGATTTTAAAACTCACTTTTTTTCCTAGCTCTGTTGAGATTTAATTGACATATATGCTAAGTAAAGTGAGTCAAACAGAGAAAGACAAATACTGTATGATATCTCATGTGGAATCTGAAAGTCACTTTTTAAAAAAGCAAATACATTTAATTTTTGATTTCTGATTAGCAGCTTCAAATATTTCAGGGTTGTAAGATGTCTAACATTAACTTTATTTGTTCTGTGTGTTTTTTTTTCAGATTCTACTCTGCTATTCAAGTAATGGTCATTATGATTCAGTGTACTCAAAGCAATTTCAGTCAAGTGCAGCTGTTTGTCAAGGTATGTGAAGGCTTTATAAATGTTTGGGTATGCTTGCAGATGGTTTGTTGCCAATTTTCAAATTGGGGGGCCCACCATAAATAGCTCTTTTAAAACTTTGTTGGTGCCAGTTGAATTTGTATACTGGATTATAGCTATTTTCACATTGTTATGAAAAACTCTTATTTTGACAACTGGAGTCTTGATTATTTTTTTTCCCTTTAGCTGTATTGTATGAAATTCTCTATAAAGATGTGTTTGTTGTGGATGAAGAAGAGTTGAAGACTGCAGTTGAGTTGTTTCGAAGTGGTTCCAAGAAGAATAGGAACAATGCTGTGACTGGCAATGAGGATGCCCATATTGACTACAAGAGTTCAACTCAAGATAGGTAACAAAGGGAAAGGGGATGTCAACTATAGGATCATCTTGTTTCTGTGCATCATTTGAAATTGGAAGGGACCTGGCAGGTTTGTGATTTAGACTATTTCTATACAGTCATCTCTCAACATTTGCAGAGGATTGGTGCCAGGACCCCTGCAAACACCAAAACGCTCAATGCTCAAGCCCCTTATATAAAATGGCTTAGTATGTGCAGTCGGCCCTCTCCATATCCATTGGCTCTGCATCCACAGATTCAACCAGTTCCATCTGCAGTTGTTTGAGTCCGAGAATGTGAAACCTGCTGAAGTGAAGGGGCCAACTGCATGTACACACACATGTATGTGTATATGTATGCTCATATGTACAGGGATATACATTTTTTAATGGGAGAAGAGACATTTTACCAAAAGATATGTTGCATTGTGAAACAGTCAGGCTTTGAGTGTTTGATACAAGTCAGAATCATTCTTTATTCCTTTTCTCCTGTTAATCTATCTTGTGTCAATTTTATTATTAGTCCAGCCAGAAGAACTCAAGAGGGGTGGGGGGGGAAGTTTCCCCTCCTGACACATCTCGAGTCTGACCCCAGAATCAGTTTTTTAATTGCTAGAAGAAATTTCAGAACTGTCTAATCCCATGATTCTCAAACTTATATACAAATTACTTAGGGTGGTTGTTTAGAAAGGCAATTTTGGGGCCTCCTTTTAAAATTGAAGGTCAGAGTAGGGCCAGGAATCTACTTTTTAAGCAAGTATACCCAAATATTCTCTACAGGTATGCCATGACCACACTTTGCAGCGGGGGGACAACTAGTTCTGAATCAGTACTATTGATTTGTAGATGGTAACTGAGGTTCATAGTGGTTACTTGACACATACATCCAGCTGGTAGGAAAGAATCTCTCAGGCTAAAGGGGAGTTTTAGCCGCTTTTGAGTGTCTGCCTTTGGAACTCACTAAAAGTGTACATTGTGTGGCCTCTTAGGAAGCAGCTATGTTGAACAGATTTAGTCAAAACCTTTGAGATCATGAAGTAGCTGTCATCTTATATTTCCTCCTGATTCTTCTGTCTAGAATTCAGATAGGTTTGGTGCTAGTCAGATGTAACCTTTTTGTTGTCTTGCAGTTCTATTTCTTGAATGTTTAATGCTTGGTTTTTTCTTTTTTTGGATAAGGATGTTTTTTTAAACAAACTAACTTACAGTCAGCACTCCTAATCCAGATGTGGAGCCTGTGGATATAAAAAGTGATGATGAGGGACTTGAGAATCTTGAATGTGGTACCTGCCTGGGGTCCTGGACCCAATCTCCCATGGATACCACGAGATGATTGTATTACAGATGTGGGGGGTGACAACCACTTATATCAGGGTAGAAGTTGCTTTGTGCTTCACTGATTATTCATCCTAAGAACTTGAGGCTTAGGGAACAGACTGGTGGACACAGCGGGGGAAGGAGAGGGTAGACAAATTGAGAAAGTAGCATTGACATACATACACTACCAATGCATAAAATAGATAACTAGCGGGAAGCTGCTGTATAACACAGGGAGCCCAACCTGGTGCTCTTTGACGACCTAGAGGGGTGGAATGGGGGATGGAAGAAGGTTCAAGAGGGAGGGGATAAAATTATGACTGATGTGCATTGGTGTATGGCAGAGACCATAACAACATTGTAAAGCAATTATCCTCCAACTAAAAAACCCGAGGCTTACAGAAACTTAAAGTAGTAGGAAGGCAAGATGTATTAGTTATTTTTTGCTACATAACAGTATTTCCACAAACTTAGCAGCTTAAAACAACATTCTTATCTCATAGTTTATGTGGGTTAGGAATCTGGGCACAGCTTAGCTGGGTCTTCTGCTTAGGATGTCACAAGAATGTAATGAGGGTTTTGATCAAGATTGAGTTATCATCTGGAGCTTTGACTGGGGAAGAATTCAGATGGTTCTTGGTAGTATTCAATTCCATGCAGCTCTAGGACTAAGAACTTCAGCTTTTTGTTGACAGCCAGAGAGAACCCTCGGCTCCTTGCTGCATGGGGTTAGTGAACATGGCTGTTTCCTTATAGTCAGCAAAAGAGAGAGAGTTCAGCAATACAGGCACTCCATTGTTATGTAGTGTAATGATATCAGTTCAGTTCAATTCAGTCACTCAGTTGTGTCCAACTCTTTGCAACCCCATGGACTGCAGCACGCCAGGCCTCCCTGTCCATCACCAACTCCCGGAATTTACCCAAACTCATGTCTATGGAGTTGGTGATGCCATCCAACCATCTCATCCTCTGTTGTCCCCTTCTCCTCCCGCCTTCAATCTTTCCTAGCATCAGGTTCTTCAAATGAGTCAGCTCTTCACATCAGGTGGCCAAAGTATTGGAGTTTCAGCTTCAGCATCAGTCCTTCCAATGAATATTCAGGACTGATTTCCTTTAGGATGGACTGGTTGGATCTCCTTACAGTCCAAGGGACTCAAGTCTTCTCCAGCACCACAGTTCAAAAGCATCAATTCTTCGGCGCTCAGCTTTCTTTATAGTCCAACTCTCATAGACATACATGACTACTGAAAAACCATAGCTTTGACTAGACAGACCTTTGTTAGCAAAGTAATGTTTCTGCTTTTTAATATGCTGTCTAGGTTGGTCATAACTTTCCTTCCAAGGAGTAAAGTGTCTTTTAATTTCATGGCTGAGTCACCATCTGCAGTGATTTTGGAGCCCCCCAAAATATAGTCAGCCATTGTTTCTCCATCTATTTGCCACAAAGTGGTGGGATCAGATGCCATGATCTTAGTTTTCTGAATGTTACATTTTAAGCCAGCTTTTTCAATCTCCTCTTTCACTTTCATCAAGAGGCTCTTTAGTTCCTCTTCACTTTCTACCATAAGGGTGGTGTCATCTGCATATTTGAGGTTACTGATATTTCTCCCGGCAATCTTGATTCCAGCTTGTGCTTCATCTAGCCCAGCATTTCACATGATGTACTGTGCATATAAGTTAAATAAGCAGGGTGACAATATACAGCCTTGATGTACTCCTTTTCCTATTTGGAACCAGTCTGTTGTTCCATGTCCAGTTCTAACTCTTGCTTCCTGACCTGCATACAGATTTCTCAGGAGGCAGGTAAGATGGTCTGGCATTCTCATCTCTTAGTTTGTTGTGATTTACCCAGTCAAAGGCTTTGGCGTAATCAATAAGGCAGAAGTAGATGTTTTCCTGGAATTCTCTTGCTTTTTCTATGATCCAGTGGATGTTGGCAATTTGATCTCTGGTTCCTCTGCCTTTTCTAAATTCGGGTTGAACCTCTGGAAGTTCCATGTTTCATGTTCTGTTGAAGCCTGGCTTGGAGAATTTTGAGCATTACTTTACTAGCGTGTGAGATGAATGCAATTGTGTGGTAGTTTGAACATTCTTTGGCATTGCACTTCTTTGGGATTGGAATGAAAACTGACCTTTTCGCATCCTATGGCCTCTGCTGAGTTTTCCAAATTTGCTGGCATATTGAGTGCCGCACTTGCACAGCATCATCTTTCAGGATTTGAAATAGCTCAACTGGAATTCCATCACTTCCACTAGCTTTGTTCGTAGTATTGCTTTCTAAGGCCCACTTGACTTCACATTCCAGGATGTCTGACTCTAGGTGAGTGATCACACCATCGTGATTATCTGGGTTGTGAAGATCTTTTTTGTACAGTTCTTCTGTGTATTCTTGCCACCTCTTCTTAGTATCTTCTGCTTCTGTTAGGTCCATACCATTCCTGTCCTTTATTGACAGGCCATCTTTGCATGAAATGTCCCCTTGGTATCTCTAATTTTCTTGAAGAGATCTCTAGTCTTCCCCATTCTATTGTTTTCCTCTATTTCTTTGCACTGATCACTGAGGTAGGCTTTTTTATCTCTCCTTGCTCTTCTCTGGAACTCTGCATTCAGATGGGTTTATCTTTCCTTTTTTCCTTTGCTTTTCACGTCTCTTCTTTTGACAGCTATTTGTAAGGCCTCCTCAGACAGCCATTTTGCTTTTTTTGCATTTCTTTTTCTTGGAGATGATCTTTATCCCTGTCTCCTATACAGTGTCACACACCTCTGTCCATAGTTCATCAGGCACTCTGTCTATCAGATCTAGTCCCTTAAATCTATTTCTCACTTCACTGTGTAATCATAAGTGATTTGATTTAGGTCATACCTGAGTGGTCTAGTGGTTTTCCCTACTTTCTTCAATATAAAGTCTGAATTTGGCAATAAGGAGTTCATGATCTGAGCCACAGTCAGCTCCTGGTCTTGTTTTTGCTGACCATATAGAGCTTCTCCATCTTTGGCTGTAAAGAATATAATCAGTCTGATTTTGGTGTTGACCATCTGGTGATGTCCACGTGTAGAGTCTTGTCTTGTGTTGTTGGAAGCGGGTGTTTGCTATGACCAGTGTGTTCTCTTGACAAAACTCTATTAGCCTTTGCCCTGCTTCATTCTGTACTCCAAGGCCAAATTTGCCTGTTACTCCAGGTGTTTCTTGACTTCCTACTTTTGCATTCCAGTCCCCTGTAATGAAAAGGACATCTTTTTTGGGTGTTAGTTCTAGAAGGTCTTGTATGTCTTTATAGAACCATTCAGCTTCTTCAGTGTTACTGGTCAGGGCATAGACTTGGATTACCGTGATATTGAATGGTTTGCCTTTTAAATGAACAGAGATCATTCTGTTGTTTTTGAGATTGCATCCAAGTACTGTATTTTGGACTCTTTTGTTGACTATGATGTCTACTCCATTTCTTCTAAGGGATTCTTGTTTACAGTAGTAGACATAATGGTCATCTGAGTTAAATTCACCCATTCCAGTCCATTTTAGTTCGCTAATTCCTAAAATGTCGACGTTCACTCTTGCCATCTCCTGTGTTTGACCACTTCCAATTTGCCTTGATTCATGGACCTAACATTCCAGGTCCCTACAAAGTATTGGTTTTTACAGCATTGGACTTTACTTCCATCACCAGTCACATCCACAACTGGGTGGTGTTTTTGCTTTGGCTCTGTCTCTTCATTCTTTCTGCAGTTATTTCTCCGCTCATCTCCAGGAGTATATTGGGCACCTACCAACCTGAGGAGTTCATCTTTCAGTGTCCTATCTTTTTATCTTTTCATACTGTTCATGGGGTTCTCAAGGCAAGAATACTGTACATCATGTATATAATGATACACATCCTGTCTATTGGTTAGATGCAGACTTAGAGGGGAATCATACAAGTGTGTCAATACCAGGAGGTGGGGACCATAGGGACCATCTTAAGATTTTGTCCCCACAGGAGGGGTGAAATACAGGAGGTGTATGTAGCACGTACTTTAAGAAAAAGAAGCATAATATTGAGATGTTGGTATGAAATATTGGGATGAAAGAAATACTTGCCTCATTTTTAGAACTGAACTACTTTACCACTAGGTGGTGGTATAGTCATTAGACTTAAGACTTCTTAGCTACTGCATTTATATAAAGCTCTTTGTTCTAAATCTTTTCAATTAGGATTGAAGAGTGGGGTGCCTGCTGCAATGTTGAAAATATACCAGAGGGGTACAATCAAGGAACAGAAGAAACAAAGGTTTGAGATCTTCTAGGGCAAAGAATTTTCATAATCTTGGCTTGCAATATTATAAGTTAAACTAGTAAAGGTCAAATGGTCCATTTTAGTTATATAGGGTGGGGGAGGAGCTGATGTTTTCCTTTGTGGAAATCTTGATCTGAAAATGTAAAATGTGTGCTTAATGTTCTCTGAATTTTTATTCTTGTGAAATTGTAATTTTTTTCCAAAGCTTACTCTGAACACTTCAGAAATTTCAGAAGCTGTTGTTTTCAAGTTAAAGTAATATTAGAAACCTAGTGGATATTTAGTTTGCAGTCAATCTTCTGTTGCTAAGGTTTCTTTTTGTCATTAAGGAGAATAATGTTTATTCCTGTTTTACTCAAAGAAAATAGGCAGTATTCCTAGTTGGAGAAGCAAGAGGAATTTTATCATCTGTATAGGTCTAAAATCAAGCAGACCTTCAGTTTGAGACTAGCTAAATAGGGCAAATATTACTAGAACAATCTTTGTGTATGCCCTCAAGTGCTGGTAATTTGGAAACAGTATGGAATACCATGAAATTCTAGGAAAGCAGAAGAAAAAGCTAATTCTTTGGAAATTGTAACAGATTTCAATCAGAATGAAGTAAAGTTTTCAGATTTGTCCAGGTGACTTTAGGGTACAGAAACACTTGCACCTCTGTGTGTGTATCAAGATGAGACTTGTTGAATAGCCCTGACTGAATCTTTAGTTCTGGTCTGTGTTGCATTGGTTTATATATGCCCTGAGTTACTGGATGCTTTAGGAAATATTTCCCTTCTGCCATCTATAACCTTTTAGATTTCTGCATATTACTTATTTAGACTCCTGATTTTTAAAATACACAGTAAAACTTATTGTGTTTTTTATTTCTTTTAATATAGAAGGAAAGGCCTATATATGTACATAGTTTTAAAAGAACCTTATTTATTCCTTCTTCATAGAAGGAAGACTTAAGGATGGTGAGTTGTAGCATGATTATTTTTGTTTTAGTCTCCAGAAAATCCATCAAAGATGCTCTTCCCCTATAAGGTGCTCAAAGCCCTGGATCCAGAAATCTATCGTAATGTAGAATTTGATGTTTGGTTGGACAGCAGAAAAGGTAATGAAATAACCAGGATATTTTTGAATCCTGACAGATCTAGGAGAACAGTTTTGCAAATTCTTCTTAAATAAGAGATGTTTTCAAACCATGGTTATGAAAAACGCTTTTACATGTTTATATGGTACTTTTTAGCCTACTCAATACATAATTTAAGTCCAAAGGAGGAAGCAAATAGGTATAGAATTGGTAAGGGATCTTTTAGAGTCTGATGTTCATCAGGGACTTCAACTTTGCAAAGACTCTGTCTTTAGATAACTTTAAGAGTACCAGAATTGTAAGCGGAAATAAGTTCCACTTAAGTTTAATGTGTTAAGATGGATGATAGATGAATAGGTTAAGTGTTAGCATACTGTGACATGTGAGTCAAATCCAATCTGCCACCTTTTTTTGTATGGTCCATGAACTAAGAATGGTTTTCCATTTTTAAGTGGCAAGGAAAAATTAAAAGAACAATATGTTGTGATACATGAAAATTATATTCAATTTTCAGTGACCATAAGGTTTTATGACAGATTTAAATAGTTGCAACAGAGTCTGTATGGCCTACATTCTTTAAAATATTTATTATCTGGCTCTTTACAGAGAAAATTTGCCAACCCTTGAAATAGGTAACTGTTTCTCTCTCCTTATAACTAAGTTGATCAAATTAGGTCTTAAAGTTCTGCCATCAGTGTAGCCTTTAATGTTTCGTATTCAACTCCTTGTACCTTGGTAGTGAACCTATGTATAGTTAATAATCTAGAATGAGGTTAATACCTTGTAGAACACAATACATTGCTAAAAATACAGTTGACCCTTGAACAACATGAAGGTTAGGGCCACTGATCCTCCAAGTGGTTGAAAATCCAGATGTAATTTGTAGTCTGCCCAATTCCTCTGTATCCACAGTTCCACATCCTCAGATTCAACCAACCTCGGTACTTGTACTATTGAAAAAAATCCATATATGAGTGGATCCCTGCAGTTCAAACCCATATTGTTCAAGGGAAAACTGTGTTGCCTTGAAGAAGCTGCATAGTGTTTTTTTTTTAATTTTTTAAAAAATTGAAGTGTTACTTTCAAATTGAACCTTATTGGTATATGACTAAATCTAAGATTACAACCTCCAAGTTTCCACTTATTTGTGTCTTGTAGCACAGAACTATTCTGGCAAATCTCCTTAAATCGACCATAGTAATAACCTGTTAGGAGTGATGGTAAGACCTTTCAGGACAGTGGTCCCCATCCTTTTTGTCACTAGGGACTGATTTCGTGGAAGACAATTTTTCCATGGACCAGGAGGGGAATGGTTTTGGGATGGTTCAAGCACGTTACATGTATTGTGCACTTTATTTTTATTATTACATCAGCTCTACCTCAGATCATCAGGCGTTAGGTCCTGGAGGTTGGGGAACTCTGCTTCAGGACATTTTCCCTACAGATTTTAGATTATAGGGGTAGGTAGCATTGTCCAAAACACTGTGGTAAAAACAAATTAGAAAATGGACTGTTGTAAAACAAGAAAGGAACCAGTTCAGTTGAGCTTGAATCTTCATTTTCTTTTAATAGAACTTCAAAAATCTGATTATATGGAGTATGCTGGGAGACAGTACTATTTGGGAGACAAATGTCAGGTTAGTTTCTTCTTTAAAGAATCAGTAATTTGTTTTTCTGAGATTGTGGTTTTAGTCATTAATATGTGATTAACAAAACTAATTAATGTTTATGTTAGGTTTTAATCACAAACTTGTGATTATATGTAAAGTGTAAAGCTTTTTCAGCTTCTGCTGCCTCCATTGAACTGGACTGGCAGTGTTAACTGCTTTAATAAGTAGATACTGAACTCCATTTGGGGAGAAGTATTTTTGCTTAGCAAAAGCCAGATCTGCTGATAGACTCAAGACTAGATGTGTTCTTACTGTCTCTTCTTCTCTTTCAGGTTCGCTTGGAATCAGGTGGAAGATATTATAATGCTCATATTCAGGAAGTTGGAAATGAAAACAGTTCAGTAACAGTATTCATTGAAGAGCTGGCAGAAAAGTAAGAATATAATAATTTGTTGAATTAACTAAAATCTTTGACTCTTGATGCCTTTTTATAGTATTAAATTGAGAATTACCATGATGCTAGTAAGAGAACAAAGTTATATCTGGTACTGGCCTAAGATGACTTATCTTGAATTGTAAAAGCATGTGATGAAGTATGAAATTTCAGTATATCTATGCATAAATTTTGAAATCCTAGGTAATAGCTTATTAGAAATATTAAGTACAACAAAATTCTGATATAAATTTATACTAATTTGAAAGCTAGTTTGCTAACTGAGCCTCTGCCAATATCAAATGAGGCTTGTCCATTCATTCTCAAACTTTAACATACCCCAGAATTACATGGAGAGCTTGTTAAAATTCAGATTGATGAGCTCTGTCCCCAAAGTTTGATTTAGTAAGTTTGTGGTGGGGTCCAAGACTTTGAACTTGTAATAAGTTTCCAGGTGATACTAATGCTGTTGGTCCACTTTGAGAACCATTAAACTAGGCTGTGCTGCCCTAACAACCAGACTCTCAGCAAACTTAAGATCTTGAGTTCATTTCTTTCTCATTTAGCATGTTCATAGTAGGTCAACAAAGGGGCCCAGGTTGACAAGGGCTCTATCCAGACATACGCTTCCGTGATCACGAGCAGGTGGAAAATGAAAACATGACAAACCATGTGCTGACTTTTAAAGCACATGCTCACATTTTACTGGCCAAAACACGTTACATAATTAAGCCTAAAGTCAGTGGGGTGAGAAAATATAATCCTTCTCCAAGGAGAGGCAACAATTATTTGTAAACTAGTCTACCACAGTCTTTCCTACTGAATGTGATATGTGCTATAAACAGCTATGAATTTATACAAACTGCTCTTTGTTTTCTAATGTACAAAGAAGGAGGCTAGGGGTTGCAGGTTTAAGTAGAAAACACTTGAAAATGAAGCAGGAGGGATGTGTATCAAATAAGAATTGACTGTTTTGTAGTGGCTTCATGTTGTTATCTCTACCTTTAAGGCATGTTGTTCCACTAGCTGACTTAAAACCAGTTACCCAAGTGACACCTGTTCCTGCCTGGAATGCTATGCCCAGTAGGAAAGGAAGAAGTTACCAGAAAATTTCTGGGGGCTACATCCCAGAAATAGGTTTGTATACTGAAAGTTTTATTATTTTCCTCCTCTTGTACTTATCTACATTGCACTTATTTTTAAAGCTGTAACTTAAGTCTTATCCTGGTTTAGAGTTCCTCCTTTGATACTATTGAAGTTTTGGAATGGATAATACTTTGTTGTAGGGAGTTGTCCTGTGCATTGTAGGATGCTTGGCAGCATCCCTGGCCTCTATTCACTAGGTGCCAGCAGCATTCTTCTCCAGGTTATGACAACCAAAAATGTCTCCAGACATTGCCAAATGTGCCACAAGGAGGGAAGGGGCAAAATTGTCTCTAGCTGAGAACTACTGTGTAGGTGACTTTGTTTAAGCTTAAGCTGGGGTGGACTTTAAGCTCTGAAACTTGAAAGGAAAAGATTTCTCAAAGAACTAGGAAAGCATCTCATAGAGCAACCAGAGATAGTAATAGGCATAATTTCTTGGATAATAATAACATAGGAGATTGAATGACTGACTCTGTTTTGATGACAAAAGTTGCCTGTACTAAAGATAGTGCTGAGATGTCCATTGATACAGAAGTTACCTGTTCATTTTGCCCTTCCAAATGGAACACCTAGTACATCCTTTTTTTTTTTCAAGTACATCCTTTGAAAATACAGAAATTTCTTCCCTTGTATTCATATGGATTGCCTAGAAAAACATCTTGAGTGTTCTAGACATTTGTGGGATACCTTGGACCTTTTGCTTTGGTTATGAAGCTAATTGCTTACTGCTTTGTTTTCTTGAAAGCTGTGTCAGAGATGGACATGAAGCAACGGAAGAAGATGTTCAAGAAAGTTAGAGGGAAAGAGGTTTATATGACTATGGCTTACAGCAGGGCAGAACCCCTTCTCCCACCCAGGCTTCAGCACAGTATGCATTATGGGCATGACTCTCCAATGCACTACTCACAGACAGCTGGCAGTGTTATGTCTAATGAACATTTTCATCCTCAACATTCATCTCAGAGACAAGGTCGGGGATATGGGATGCCCAGGTAGGTCTTAACTAACTTTGAAGATAATGTACATCTCTGTTTAGACATTGGAAATAATTCCTGGGCAGAATTATGCTGGAACCTAGAAATATCTTAATAGTTTAAATTTCTCTTATAATCTCTACCTGAAGGTACATAGAGAATGGAAATGATGTATACTTAAATTCTTGTGAAACTTATGGAAGACTCGTATTCTCACAGTCTAGGAGAATATGGAGCAGTTGAAAAGATGCTAGAAGATAGAATGCCATCAAGCTGAGTGCCATGTATATGGCACTGGATCTATCAATAATGAATAGGCCAAACTGTAATGGAAAAGAATATGAAAAAAGAATGTATGTATATGTATAACTGAATCACTTTACAGCAGGAATTAATACAACATTGTAAATCAGCTATACTTCAATTAAAAACAATGGATAGTCCTTATGTCAGTAGTGAGGAAAGCAAAGCTCTTTCTATTTGATTGTTTTTAGAAAGATATGTTAATTCTATTTAACTACAAAGACTGACTACTCAAGCACTAGTAAATAAGAGTTTTGTTCCCTCCCCCCCGTTATTCTTAGGGATTCATCTCGTTTTATAAACAGGCACAACATGGCAGGCCCTAAAGTTGGTTTTTACCCTGGTCCAGGTAAAAGGTGCTGCCAGAGCTATGATAACTTCTCCTATAGATCTCGGTAAGTGAACTTTAAGTGTGGAAGGTTAGAGAAAATTAGTGAGTCTGACTTCATTGCTATGCAATAAACATATGGACTAATATTTTTAAAATGTCAGCATTGAGGCATTTGAACTAGTATTTAGAAATTTAGAAACAAGTTAGTATCATATTTAATCTTTTTATCCCCTTCTCATTCTGCAAACTTCTTAAGTTCCTTTAGACGTAGTCACCGCCAGATGCATTGTATGAATAAGGAGTGCCAATTTAGCTTTGCTCCAGAGAATGGACAGATGCCCAGGGGCTTGGAAGAAACCATTACTTTTTATGAAGTTGAAGAAGGGGATGAGACTGCATATCCAGCTTTACCTGTAAGTAGTTCAAAATTTTACTAACAAAGCTATTTACTTTTCTCTTTTATTTTTTTAAGTAAAGGTAATGTGGATAAATTTTAGCTATTTTGCAAATTACCAAATAAAGCCCTTCCTGGAAAACATGAGTTTTTGTCTTAGAGCTTTTAAAAATTAGGGGAATTTTTTAAGCTGTTCTTACAGCAGAGGTGTAGAGGTGGACTTGCCTATATAAGTATGGGCTAAAATTTTCTGTTTTCTTGATCATTACTTCCTCACATATTTTTGATTCTGAAGTACATTTAAAATATTTGTAGCTTTTTCTCTGACTATATAGGGACACTGTGTGTGTATCTCTTTGGTACAGAATCATGGAGGGCCCTCTACAATGGTTCCTGCTTCTTCGAGATACTGTGTTGCAAGGCAAGGACATAGCTCAGGCAAACAGCCTTTGAATTCAGAGGAGGGTGATGGCCAGAGAGACGGTGGTGAGTCAGTTACAGCAGTATTTTTTAAAAAGATGATTCTTGTGGTATGAGCACAACAGGGCTAAAGTTTTGGTTTGGAAAGGGTCCCACTCTGTTCTGGCAGCTCATTTTGAAAATTATCAGTTCTTGTATCAGAGCTTGCTCGATTTTGAAGATGTTTTGATATTTTTCAGAAAGACAGACTTCTATTTCTGTAAGGCCACTACATTGTTAAAATGTTAAGTTCTCTGATAGGTCTTCAGTGAGTTTGATTTGGTGAGATTTCAGTATTGGAAATATCTATTCTTTATTAGTAAGGAACTGTTCATGTTGTCCATACCATTTTTATAATTACTTTAGACTTTTCCTGTGATTGTTATTTTATTAGACTGCCATGAAATAATTTCTTTTCCTGAAGAAATCTATTTGATCTGTAAACATTATTATTCATTGAGTTCTAATGGCCATATACTGTACTAAGCAATTATATTTAAAATTTAATATAATACTTTGTCCCTCTGAGGAATGTGTATCTTTGTTTTATGTATGAGGAAATTGAGATTCAAAGGGAAAATGACATATAGCCAAAATCATATACGTGGTAAATAGCAGAGATTTAATTATTTATAACAGCTTTACTTAGATATAACTGACACATTTGTACACTTCACCTAACATGTACAATTCAGTGTTTAAAGTGAAAACGGTGGCTTTCAGTATAGTCATGAAGTTTCATACATCATCACAATCAATTTTAGAAAAAGAAACCTTCTACCCATTAGTGGCCTTCCCTAGTGGATCAGCTGGTAAAGAATCCGCCTACAATGTGGGAGACCTGGGTTCGATCCCTGGCTTGGAAAAATCCCTTGGAGAAGGGAAAGGCTACTCACTCCAGTATTCTGGCCTGGAGAATTCCATGGATTGTATAGTCCATGGGGTCCAAAGAGTTGGACATGACTGAACGACTTTCACTTCACCAGTGACTCAGACAGTAGAGGATCTGCCTGCAATGCAGGAGACATGGGTTCAGTTCTTGGGTTGGGAAGATCCCCTAGAGAAGGAAATGGCAACCCACTCCAGTATTCTTGCCTGGAGAATTCCATGGACAGAGGAGCCTGAGAGGCTATAGCCCACGGAGTCACAAAGAGTCAGACACGACTGAGCAACTAACACTTTTACCTATATTAGTGGTCATTCCCCATTATCCCCCCAGCATCCCTTTCCCTGCCACTAGTCATAGGTAGCTATCAGTCTGCTTTCTGTCTTAATGGATTTGCCTGTTCTGGATATTTCATATAAAAGGATTCATGCAATATATGGTCCTTTGTGACTGGCAGAGAATCAGTTTTGAACTTGGTTTTATCTGACTCTAAAGCATATATATGTATATATACATACACTGTTAATAGTTGTTAGGAGTGCCTTGCATCATGAAATGTGCTTTTTTTTTTTTTACTGTTTTTCTGTAAAATGATATATGCTTACTGAAACACTTACAGAGGAATTGGGTGAATTAAGGAGCTTTGAAGTGGTCTGAATGATTTGACTTACTGGTCAGCATCTTTTCTTGTTATATTCTTGCTGCTATTTATGATGAAGAAAATATTTTTAAAAATTTAATTAGGACAAAAGATCTAGCCCAAGAATTATCTTTGAAGAATTTTTACATGCATGTGTATGCCTGTGCTTATGTATGTGTATTCTCTGCTCTTTTTCTCAGGATGACTCTTTGTCTATTTCTTTTAGCATGGTGGGTACTGTTCACCTATAGTGGCATATTTAGAGTAACCAAGTATTTTTTCTCACCTTAAATCCTGTTTTCTGGAGGAGCTGCCTGCTTGTGTATTTGATAAGTGACATGTTTAAGAATCAAATCCACTTTTGACCTTTGAGGTTTTATTTGGTGGAAAGTGGTCCAACTGAAGGTTGATTTTTCTCTGAATTTCAATGATATAGCAGTCTTAGAGAAAAGTACTTCAATCCTCTAAGCCATCTTCTGACAACAAACTGATTTTCAATGTATTATTTACCTGTATCAGGCTGAAAAACAGATGAGGCATGACATATTCCTTTAATGTTCACCTAAGCAACCTGTTGGTTATTATACTCACATTACTTTATCATCACCATTTCCTATATGTCAAGCATCATGCTATGTTCTTTTCACCCCACTATGAGCTAGGTACTATTATCCCTGTTTTACAGTGAAGAAATGAAGAGCCAGAAATTAAATAACCTGCCTAAAGTGATACAGTTATTCAAGATTCAAATCTAGACAGTCCTAACTTCAGAGCCAGTGAAGTTAATCACCATAATCTACTGCCAGAATTGGACAGAGCTGAGTTTTTCACGTCTGCCTGAGCTCTTAAGAACCAAGGGAATTTTCAAAGGAGAAATTTGTGCTGTTTATAGCCAGTCTGATTTTAATATCTGTTGACTAGTATGAAAGCTTTAAATCACTTGTTTCAAGGATGTGTACATTTTAGTTCTGAACATGTACCCATAAAACTTGAGAAAAAGCAAGTGCTGGCCATCTGATACTGCTGAGCAAAAAGCTCTACATAAATTCACTTTTTCTGTCTTTTTTTCTAGGGGGATATCATGAAGAATATATTTATCCTTCAGGTCAGTGAGATCTGATATTCATTATTTATAAAATTTCAAACTATAAAATAATGCTCATTATTATACTTTGGTTATATCTTCTAGAACCAGACTATGACACTTCAGGTGTTTATAGCACAGCTGAATCTACTGCAAACTTGGTAGGTATTTAATTATAGTCACAAACACATATAGCTCCTGTGTAATAGAGCACTGTTCTAAGAGCTATGCACTTAAGTGTGTTTAAGTCAGAACAGTCCTATGAAGTATTAGGTTATCATTCTGATTTTGTAGATGAAGAAATTGAGACCCAGAAATTAGCTCATCTAAGATCACATTTTTCTGGAAATTATCCTAGATGTTCCTAATATGTGTTGATACAAGAGGAAATTTGCACATTGGCAGTGATGATTTTTTAAGAGGATTTTGTCATGGGTCATTAATCTCAGGTACCTAATATAGCAAAAGTTTCTTTCTGGGTTATGCTATTTGTGTAGTGGAGGTCTTCAGGAGGGCTCTGCTTAGGGGCTTAGGCTGATGGAAGCTCCATTCATGATTGGTAAGACAGGAAACAAAAGGTAGTGAATGGTGCACTGACTCTTACAGCTTCCACGTGGAGATGACACACATTACTTACTTTTCCATTTCTTTTTCACTGGACTGCGCATGTTTCCCTTGAGACTCTTAACTTCTCTGTGCCTGGAAGTCAAAAACCTGGAAATATTTTAATAGCACTAAGGATTACAACATTCAACGAAACTCCTTCACACAGACCAGTTACTTCCTTCCACCTCAAAGGAGGCAACTCCAAAATCTCCTTCAGTGTGATTAAACTCAGAGCCCAAGGTTTCTGGAAAATGTGTAGTACTCTTTGCATTGGATCCAGATGTGGTTCCTCTTGATCTGGAGGCCTAAAACCAAAGATACAAAGTTATTTACCCCCTACATACCCAATTTACAGTGGTAGAGCAGGGACTAGAAATTGCCATTAAAATTCTCATCAGATCCAGGGAGAATGGGAGAAACAGTTACTGGCCTGTAGCAGTTCTGACATAATGCTGGACAGACATTTTGAGGGCCCCCATCCTGGGCATTGGGACTGTTCCCTGGAGAAGCTCCCTGGTTAATTGTTTACTGGGGCTCTTGATTATGCCACAGCCCTTTCTTCCTTGGTCATATTTGAAGTAGGCATTGGAGAATAATCCTTGTTAGCAGCTGAGTAGCCTCCTCACACTGCTTCTTACTCATAGGAAATTGAGAGCCCAAAGCTGGTTTTTAATTTTAATTGGATAGTTTTAGTTCTGCTCATGGGATTCCCTAGAGGAGGAAATGGCAACCCACTCCAGTATTCTTGCCTGGAAAATCCTATGGACAGAGGAACCTGGTGGACTGCAGTAAATGGGTCACAAAGAGTTGGACACGGCTGAGAGACGAAGACACACATTCCTTCACATTCTTATCCCTGTTTCTCTACTTGAGTGCAGATACCTGAGTTTATCAGTCATTGATAGAAGAGTCATAACCTTTGAATGCTTTCCCATGAGCCATTTTGTCCAAGTGCAAGGACTCACTGGGTGTTATATCCTTAATTGTACTCATGGTTTGAGATACCTTAGTGCAGTCATATTTTAATGATTTGAATCTTGCTTCAAGGACAGCTTTTAACTTCTCTTTGTTGTTCAAAATATTTATCAATTTTATCTTTTACAGTTTTGAGTTGAAGCACTTACCTCTTCAAACCCTAAAAGTCCCAGTATTCAAGGATTCTATTCCCTTTCATTCCTGCCTACAAACTACTTTTCCTTACATATCTTAAAGTACCTTGCTAAAATCTGCCAGCAGTAATCAAAACACAAAACTAATGTTCTGTTTCCTAAACCTCTTCCCTTAAGAGCTACAAGTTCATAATCTTCTCAAGTCAAGTTTCTGTTATAGCAGCACCCTAATTTTAGTTACCAGTTACTGTTTTGGTCAAGCTAAGTTATGCTGTGGCAGCAATCCCCCAAAATCTCAGCGACTTAACACAGTTGTTCTTGCTAATGTTATAGGTCCAGTGCAGGTTGGTAGCAGGCCTTTGTTCATCAGAGTCACTCAAGAACCCAAGCTGATGGACCATGTACTTTCATAGTCATCTTGGCAGAGCTGAAGATAAGGAAATTAAACACTGGGTATCAATATTTTTGCTCATATGTCATTGTCCAAACAAGCCACAAGGGCATAGGCATACCTAACTAGATGAGGCCAGGAAGAGCAATATACCCATGTACCTAGGAGGAGAATTGGAATATCTGTGAAGAAATTGAATGACTACCTTCTGTTCTCTGTGATTAATTTAAATTTTGATAGATAGCTTCATGTACTTAATTTTTGTTTTTACTGTTTAGGCACTACATCTTAGGAGGGTGAAGAAAACTGTGATACATAATTCTCTTCCCATTATTTCTTCTTACCTTCCTTTGCCCCTGCTAGAGAAATAGTTTTTCCCCTCCCTCTGTCATTACTATTCTCAGTATTACATGCTTTTTATACCATTTCTTGAAATAGCCACCCAAGTTGAAAAAGCAAGTGAAAATCTCACCTTCAGGGATGACAAGAGTAGACATTTTCTTTTTGTCTCTTTAATTTTATTTGTTACATCTTCCTTTTTGTTCTGAACTTACTTTATCATACATCCCCAGTAGGTTTCAATCTCTTCATGATGTGTTCTGCCCCCATGCCCCAGTCATCAAGTTTCTAAGTAATTTTTCCACAGCATTCTGAGAGGAGAGGACCTCTGTAGGACTTTAAGATTTCCAGGCACAGACTCTTTTTCTAACCACAGCATTTATTATTCTTACTTCCACGCCTAAGTCTCACTTAAATCCTTCTCTAGAATTGTTTGGAATTCACACTGGGCCTTCTGAGCCAGGGCTGAGTTCACTTTTTGGCAGGTATTTGGTTTGCACTTGGAGCTTCCCGAGACCAGAGTTCGATCTCTGGGTCGGGAAGATCCCCTGGAGAAAGGAATGGCAACCCATTCCAGTATTCTTGCCTGGAGAATTCCATGGATTAGGGGAGCCTTGCTGGCTAGTCTATGGGGTGGCAGAGTTGGACATGACTGAGTGACTAACACTTTCACTTTGTGCTGTACTTGAAACAAAACTTTTGAAATGTTCACTCTTTAGTCCACGTTAAGTTGTGCTTGTCTTTGTTACATTGTGGTTCCTCTTGTTTCCTGTGATTACTTCCCCTGATTTCCTCTGTGTTCTTACTATGAGTACCAGTTTCTGCTGCTAGTTTATTTTCCTGTCATGACTATCTGTAATGCATAATTCTGAGTCCTTTAAAATCATTTTTGCTTTCACAAAGACAGGGTCTTGAACCAAAGGAGAATGATGTTTGCGTTATACTACATCCTGCTTGTAGGATGCATCTGACCAGTTATCCACCCTTGTCCCAAGCTGTATCTTTAGATGGACTTCTTTCTTTTAGCAACACTGTTGCTGGTCCTACTGATTTTGAGGTTTTTATGGCAAGAGAGGACACTGAGAAAGTGTTTAAATTATAGTCCTCCATTACATTTTAGTATCTGCATTGTGACTAGACTTGGATATGATCAAGATTTCTACAGTAGGACATATTAAGTTAGTGCAAAAGTAATTGCGGTTTTTGTGTTGTTGAAATTTGCCTTTGTACTGGAATACATTCTTAAATAAATATGGTTGTGTTATACATGATTTTAATGTGCATTTCTCAGTTTTTGTTTTTTTTCTAATGACTTGTTATGTGCAGTTTATTTTTTATTTTAGACTGTGGAAATGATGTTAGACAAAAAGTAAATTCGAGTGATTTTCTTATTCGATTTTAAAATGGATTGTAAAGCAGCAGAGACAACTCGCAACAACAATGCATTTGACCCAGGAACTACTAACGAGCATACAGTGCAGTGGTGGTTCAAGAAGTTTTGCAAAGTAGTTGAGAGCCTTCAAGATGAGGAGTATAGTGGCCAGCCATCGGAAGTTGACAAGAACCAATTGAGAGCAATCATTGAAGCTGATCCTCTTACAACAATCCAAGAAATTGCTGAAAAACTCAGTGTCAACCATTCTGTGGTCATTTGGCATTTGAAGCAAATTGGAAAGGTGGAAAAGCGTGATAAGTGGGTGCTTCATGAGCTGATCTGAAATTAAAAAAAAATCATTGTTTGGAAGTGTCATCTTCTCTTATTCTGTGCAACAACAGCAAATCATTTCTTGATTGGACTGTGATATGTAATGAAAAGTAGATTTTATATAACTGGCGGTGACCAGCTCAGTGGTTGGAACAATAAGAAGCTCCAAAGCACTCCCCACAGCCAAACTTGCACCAAGAAAAGGTCATGGTCACTGTTTGGTGGTCTGCTGCCAGTCTGATACACTATAATTTTCTGAATCCCTGCGAAACCATTACATCTGAGAAGTATGCTCAGAAAATGAATGAGATGCATTGCAAACTGTAATGCCTGTAGCTGGCATCAGTCAACAGAAAGGGCTGCATTCTCCACGACAGCGCCCAACCACATGTTGTACAACCAGCACTTCAAAAGTTGAACGAATTGGGCTCTGAAGCTTTATCTCATCTCCCATACTCACCTTACCTCTTGCTGACTGACTACCACTTCTTCAAGCATATCGACAACGTTTTGCAGGGAAAACACTTCCACAGCCAGTAGGATGCAGAAAGTGTTTTCCAGAGTTTGTCAAATCCCAAAGCACAGATTTTTATGCTAAAGGAATAAGCAAACTTATTTCTCATTGGCAAAAATGTGTTTATTGTAATGGTTCCTGTTTTGATTAATAAAGATGTGTTTGAACCTACTTACAATGATTTAAAATTCAGTCTGAAACCGCAATTACATCTGCACCAACCTAATCAGTCACCTTAGTCAGGCACTAGAGTGATGCCTTTTGGAGTGTTATCATAGTAGTCATTTCCAAATCTGAGTACTTTTAGGACAGATCGGTTTCACTTAATTTTAGGAGATGTTGAAACAAAGCAGATCTTTTATTGGTGTATTGTTTAACATCTTGATTTCCCCATATTTGTATTTGTGTATTCATTAAAGTCTCTTCAGGCTAGAAGACCATGTTCTGTGCCTCCTCAGGACACAGTTACCTCATACAACTACCCCCAGAAGGTAATCTTTATAGTTTTATTTTGCATTTAGTTGAAGTGGCCTGACAGAGGAAAATGAATTTTTTCTTTTTGTTCTCTTTTCCCTTCATCATACTTGAAAGAAGCTGCTTATATTCTTATGTTAAGTATTCTTGTACTTCCTGGTGCCTGGCACAGTATTTAGTAAATTTATTAACAAATTGTTCATCTACTCTGTTTCAGACATTCTTCTATGTGCTGACACTAAACTATTCATAGTCTGCCTACTCTGAACCTCTTATATAATGAATGAGTTAATGTCAGTTTCCTGTCAAGTCTGTCATTTCCTGGAAATTAAAATGTAAAGCTTTCCTACAGAATGGGGAGCTGGCATCAAAAAGGTAGCTGAAACCATAGGAGTTAGTAAGATCATCCTGGGAAAAGGAAGAGTTAGAAGAACTTCTAGAACAGAGCCTGTGTATCACCATTTAAAAAATGGGTAGAGAAGGAATAGCCAAGGAGGGAGGAAAGCAGGAGAGTGTATTATTATGGAAGTCCAGGAAGAAAATATTTCAATGAATAGTCATGTCAGTTGCTGCCAAGCGGTCAAGCAACATAAGGACTAAAAAGAGTCTACTATGACTTGTTGTCATGGAGATCACTGTGACTTTGAATATAATTTCTGAGAACCAGAGAGGGTAGCAACCACATTGCAATGGGTAATAAGAAAATGGAGACTGCAAGTAAGGATGGTATTCATGAAGAAGAAGAAGCTGTTATCATTTATTGAACATCTCTTTGTGCACAGCCCTGTATTGGGTGCTGTGGCCTAATCAGAAAAACAAATTGCAGTCTCATGAAGTTTTTTAAAAAAGCAAAGAACACTTTTTTAAGTGTGTTTGTATGGGGAAATATATATGTATGTTAAAAATGCAGTATAAATTTCTGGATAATATTCAAGAAACCCAGAGGTTACTTGTTAAGAGAGGAGCTAAGCAGATGGAAGACACGGGTTGGAGGGAAATTTTTCATTGTATATACAATTTTATACTTGGTTTTTGAATAATAATAATAATGTATTACCTTTTAAGAAAAATATTAAAAAGTAAAGCTCTCAAAGTAATCTGGGATCTTCTAAAAGAAATAATCTTTCTATATTAGGTTTACATGAAGATTGATTTCTTGGTGTTATCAGAATACTATTTCCTGAAATTTAGGATCAGATAAGAGACTAATTTTATTTGAGAAACCAAACAGAGTTCTAAAATTTCTTCCACACTTACAGGTGATGGTAAATTCTGCAGCAATTGCAGCTTCCTGTGCCAATAATGTTCCAGCTCCAGTCTTACCTAACTGTGCAGCCGCTAATCAAGCTAGTAGTACCACTTCAGTTTCCTCACAGAATGCTATACAGCCTCTATTTGTATCTCCATCTACACAAGGCAGGCCAGGTAGGTTATTAGTGGTTGCTTACTTTGGAGGCCTCTTTTTCTATTCGTGGACATGCACATACAGCAATTCTAGTGATTAGATAAAATTACTTGAATCTCCAGTCTTAAGTTTGTTTAACCTACTTAATAATGTATGTTCTATAGTTGAGGAATCCATGAGATTTGAGAGTCAGGGTTTCAATTTTTTTTCTTGCAAATTTGGCTTTGATATGATTTCATAGCTATCGTTCTGCTACCCCATTGAAAATTTAGAGGACTTGTACTAGTTTATCAAATTTTGAGTTAAGTTTTATTATACTAAAATTAAGGTAGAGGTGTTTCACACTCTTACAGAATGAAGAGTTTGGCTCTAGAATTTAAGAGATCTAGGTTAGAATCTTGGTTTTACAACTTACTAGCTATGTAACTTTGGACAAGTTATTGAATCTTTCTTACCTGTAAACTTGGAGGTACTCATAGTACCACTTTATTAAGTTATTGTAAAATTTCATTAATATAATTTAAAATTCTCAGCAGAATTCTGGGAAAGTGATGGCAACCACAGCATAGCTTTTCAGTCTCTGTCACCAAATAAAAATGGAAATAGCAAAACCAGAACCCATTGGACAATGCTTAACAACAAAACTAGGTGACAAGGTCTCCCCATGAACCTTAAAATTTAGCAGGTAGGGACAAACCACCAGGCACAAGGCCTGCATGCTGTCAGGGTCTATGTGGGAGCAAGAAGACAGAAGCACTGGGGATGTTGTCTGATGGACCTGAGAACAGAAGAACCCTGGAAGAGCTAATAAGAATTCACTGGAAAGTGGGGCAGCCAATTTGGAAGGAGCAGCTAAGACTGGGAAGGGATTTGACCTCTCCAATACTCGGTGAGTGCTTTGGGTACATGGTAAAGGGTCTGAAGGGCTTGGAACAGTTTGGCCCCTGAGAATTCTCAAAACTGACCTTGGCAGGCCTACCTTTTGGGATAGTATTCCTTACTGGGGAGAAACTGCTGGGACTGGAATCAGAACTGTTGAGGATAGGGAAAAGAGCAGGTCCAGACTGAAGTTATGGAGAACAGAGCCAAGGAATACTAGAAAGTAGTCATATTTTAAGCACTATATAAAAAGCAGTTGAGAGCCATATGAAGTTAGAAGAGCATTCTTGTATTCCATCTCCTTTCAGAGTTTGTGAAAAATAATTTCACATAAAAATGAATGAAAGAAAAGCCCTACATATACATATACAGAGGTGTTTTAAGGGGAAAATGATGATATCCCTGTAGACAGTAAAAGCATGTCATAAATGTGCACAATAAACAGAACTTAACCAACTATTTCAATATGAGATAAAGACATTGATAAAATAATACAAAATATTAATCAGGATATTATTTATTAATCATAATAAATCAGGATTAGAAAAATTCAGAGGAAGTGAAAGAACTCAGAAAAGCATTAGAAATGGAAGAAAGTCATTTTGGTAATGAAGACTAAACTACAAAGAACATGACTGAGTATATACAATAGATAATGCTGTAAGAGAAAGATATAAAAGGAGGGGGTAAATCTAAAATGAAAAAAAATGAAGATAAAGACTCAAAAGTGACATATTGAAGTTAGGCAAAGGATATCCAGCATTGATAGAAGTTCTGAAGAAGAATACCAACGTAAGGGAAAACAGTACTAAAAACTACAATTCAGAAAATTTTCCTGACATTAAAAAAACTTTAGAACCACATACTGAAACAACACTCAGAATAACTGAGAATACTGAGCCAGAACAACCAACACCAGGATATTGTAGTAAAACAACTGAACTTTAAGAAAGTGCTTTGTTTATCTAGGTAAAAGAGCCTATGGAGCATAAAGGAAATAAAATAATGATCCAACTGTGACAGTGCTTCATCTAGAAGAAAATGGAGTGACATTTGATGAAAGGATATGTGAACCAAAGATTTTATATCCAACCAAACATTTTCAGGCTTAACGGGTAATATGTAAGAATTCAGAGAATATTGTTCTCATGAGTACTTCTTGAAAAATCTACTAAAGATACACTGTCAAGCAAGGTAATCACTAGCCACATAGGACACTTTAATAATTGCTATTAAGTAAAATAAATCTTCAGTTGCTCAGTCTCACTAACCACATACCAAGTGCTCAAAGCCACATGTGGCTAGTACACTGTAATGGACAGTGCAGATACAGAATACTTCTGCCAAGGAAAGTTGTATTGGATGGACAAAGTATTGAAGAATGAATTTTGACTTTTAGACCACCAAAACAGAGACATCAACATAAGACTTGATTCTGAATATTAGATATGTATTTACACAAAATAAAGGCTGAGACGTTGATGATACACTATGTAAAAGCCTTATGTTTGAACAATGTAGATATAGTATAGCTATTTTTAAAAACAGCAGAATTGAGAGACAATATGCCAAGCATTTTTTAATGCTTTCAGAAAACACATCAGGTTCTGTATAGCAATCTATACTTACTTGTTATTAAGAGATTGTAATGTCAGCTACAATACGTGACTATGGGATATTCCAATTTTATCCCCTGTGTCCTTGCACGCCAGGTCTCAGTATAGAAGAAAGTTAATACAGATAGATACTAAAAAGGCCAAAGAAAAGCTTTTATGGTATTATATTACACTTGACTTGGAAATATCAATATGAACCTGAAGTATTTTATCTTTAAATTTATTTGCTAGCTCTGTCTACTGAAAAGGCCTAGAAACAATGAGTATCTTTAGCATTCAGTTTGTGACACTGAAATACCATTTCTCACTTAAAAGCAAACAACTTTGTGGAGAAATTTCTGGTTCCAGGTTTGGGCAGGAAATGTTCAAGATGAGCCTGGATCATCTTGTCATGCTAGATGGCAAGGAAGCTACCAAAGAGTACTGGGGTCCTGTCAAAAGGACTCAAGAGCCATCTTGGAGAGGTTCTCACTGGCCAGAGATGCAACATTTTGAGCTTGAATAATGATCATTGTAATAGGTTGGAACATACCAAATATATTTAAAAGTTCCTGATGATATTTTAGAAATTGGTTCCCTTTTGATTAACAAACAACTATACATAAAATAGATGAAAAAAACCAAGGACTTACTGTGTAGCACAGGGAACTCTATTCAATATCTTGTAATAACATATAATAGAAAATAATCTGAAATATATATATATATAACAAAAAAAATTGGTTCTCAAGAGAATGATATGAAATAATTTTGCTTTCTTGAAAACTGGACAATATAGTGAAAGAATCAAGTATTTATCCTACCTTTCTTATATGAACTTTCCTACTGGAATAACCAAATAGTAGATGAGGGGAAGTATTTCTATATATTAATATTCTGATTAGTGAAAAAGAAGTGGCAGAATATGCTCATCTTGCAGTCCTTACTGACTGAATGGATGCACATTAAACAGCAATAGTTGTTAAGACTGCAAAGATAGTGAGACATTACCTATAGACTATTAAAGGAATCAATCTTGAGTCTGATCTAGTTGCCTATTTAGAGGAAAGACAAGAACATGTTGAAATACTCAGTGAGTATGTAATCAGCAAAATCTAGACTGGGAAACTCAACAAGTCAAGTGTTCCTTGAAAGAAAAATTGAAATGACAGGGATGGGAAAAGGACCAAGAGATTGAAAGAGATTCAAGATCTCAATTTTTAAAAACTTCTTTGTGGATGCATATTTGGGTGACAAAATGCTTAAAAATGCAAAGTGATTACTATGAAAGTCAGGATAATGATTGATTATGGTGGGGTAAGAGGGTGGTAGTGGCTTCCTATCTGGCGCTAGTGGTAAAGAACCCGCCTGCCAATGCAGGAGGTGCCAGAAACAAGGGTTTGATCCCTGGGTGGGGAAGATAACCTGGAGGAGAGCATGGCAACCCCCTCCAGTATTCCTGCCTGGAGAATCCCATGGATAGAGGTGCCTGGCAGGCTACAGTCCATAGAGTTGCAAAGAATTGGACGTGACTGAAGCAACTTAGCACACAGCACTCAAGACTGTGGTGATTGTGATGGGGTGCATGGAATGTTTCTGAAATGGCTGGCAAACTTTTCTTTCTTAATCTGGATAGTGTCCACTTGAAACAAATTTGTTGGGTTTGTTTTCTGTATCTGTTTTATTTATAATGTAAAAATTGTGTGCTTAGCCACAGTGCCTGGAACAAAACATTCTATATATATGTGTGTGTGTGTATATATATACATTAATGATCTCAGAAATTTTCCATTGAAAGTGTTAATGTAGACAATGACTTTATTACTTTGTGCTCATAATTGTTGGGCTTCCCAGGTGGCTCTAGTGGTAAAGAACCTGCCTGCCAATGCAGGAGGCTTAAGAGCTGGAGGTTCGATCCCTGGGTCGGGAAGATCACCTGGAGAAGGTCATGGCAAACCACTCCAGTGTTCTTGCTTGGAGAATCCGATAGACAGAGGAGCCTGGCAAGCTACAGTCCATGGCATCGCACATGAATGAAGCAACTTAGCAAGTATGCATGCTAATAATAGTAAGGGAAAATGTTGGCTATCTGCTTCTAGCAGATGTCTGAGCTTAACAAGCAATACGTGAATCAAACATTATAATACCCCATTTATGTAGAATGATTGAAAACTATTCTGTAAATTCCAGATTTGTGTGTTTTGTAGATATTTCTAAAAATGTATCTTGCCTTCATTTTACTTTTTGTTGTGTCTCTTGTGAACCTCAGCTATAACTCTAATAGGTAATGACTGCTTTTTAGTTGTTCTTTATCATTCCTGTCAGTCCTCTAGATAAACTGATGTTTCCCCTTGTTTTTCACATGTGTCTGTCTGGCAGCCCCATCCCATCTTCCTTTAAGTCAGTTCTTACCTGCCAGGTAACTAGATGCTATGATTACTTTTATGAGTGTCTTCATAGGCATTAAATCCTGTTAACTGATTTTTTTGGTAACTGTTTCCAAGTCTTTTGCCAGGGCCAGAACTAGTGACTCATTTGCTTTGGGT